GTATCAATGTCATATTTGTTTTGCGTTTGTGTATCCGAATGGCTAATTACTATTCATCGCCAGTATCATTTCACTGAACTCTGACTATGAATGTACAGCTGGGAAGAAGTTACTGTGATCCCAAAGCCCTGCGTAGCCTCCAAAGTGGGATTTTGCAAAGTTGAAATTTTATACCCATCCCCCAACTTGTCCTCAGATTGCGAACACCCTCCATTCGGTAGCTCTTTATCCCCGATCATCCGTGCCAAGGAAATCGATCAGACCGGCATCGGAATGAGGTGAACAGTTAGTTTGTCATCCGACCCAAGTTGATAGGTGGATGGATGTGACAAGCGCGCCTATGCATTGTCAACTTTGACCATCCGATCATAACGTGTTTCGTGGCGAAAGATTACATACACACGCACACACACACAGGCCAGATTATTTATTTATCAACGCTCAGTTATGCGCGCCGGATTTCCCATTTCCCAGTTCTCGCCGCTGATTGTTCAAAATAGGCATCTCACATTGCCCTCTTCCCACCCAACCGGCAAATGGAGTAGACGTAGACGAACGAAAACAAGGTGGGAAACATGCGCACGCACGCACGCACGCACGCACGCACGCACGCACACACACAGAAAAGTCAAATGATTTATTTGAATTTTATGATCCTCATGGCCCTGAAAACGAGTGTGTGTGTGTGTGTGCACAATAAGGGATAAACAATCAGCCAGCCAAAACCAGTCAATCAGTCAGTCAGTCAGTCAGTTAGCGCCCCCTCCCGTCGCCACCGGAAAGTGCATACTTAATTCGGCCAACTGGCAGGCCCGACAACCGCCCGTCCACATATTTCACCCGAGCCACCCGGTTCCGAAAGGAATTTCACTCATGACCAGGTTTGCGGGATTCAAACTCATGAACCCGGTTGGCACGGTGAAGATTCGTAACGTGGGGTCACGGGGACGATGTTGGTGTGGCACGTTGAACATGCTTCAAATAGCTTGTTGACCATTGGAATGTGGATAAGATCATTATTTTTGGGATTCGATGTGAGAAGAAAACAGCACCAGGAGATAGACGAACAGACAGACAAACGGATAGACAGACAGATCATAAGGTAGCAGAGCTGTTATATCCCTGTGTTCCAGATCATTTGCAACTGATGTGTGTTAGTGAGTAGACAATGTGCAATAAGTTGTATCTGACTGCCTTGGCAAAACTTCCCTGGAATCACGTGATCCGGTTCGCGATTGTTGTTGCCTGTCATCAATGCGTATCCGGTAATTTCCTGTCTGATCATTCATTCATTTAGACATACGCATACATGTATCCCTTGTGTCATTTTTTCCTTAAATGTATTGGGTTGGATAGAAGAATTACTTCGACAACCCACCATAGCAGTTCGGTCACCATCTGATCCTATCCGCGTAGCTCGAGGAGTTCCACAGAGATCCGTACGTGGCCCTCAATTTTGTCTTGTTTTCATAAACGATCTAACGGACATTCTGCGGTCACAAATGTTAATGTTTGCGGACGATGTAGAAATATGGAAAACGGGTACAAAACCCGAGGACTCTCTGGCACTTCAGAGTTGCACTTAGTGTTGCTGAACTATGGTCTATCGAGAATGACATCGAATTCAATGCATCAAAAAGTTTGATTTTCATCCCTTCGCAACAAAACTCGGTTTCCGTACTTTTTGGGATATCAGCAATTTCCGTATACCTCAAATGAGGAGGATCTTGGTCTCGTTGTTCAAAACGACCTAAATTGTTCTTTAAACTGCTCCCGGGTGTCGTCCACCACTGCAAGACATGTTGGTTTACTGAAATGAGTATTTGGCAAATTTGAACCTATGCTGTTCCCGCATTAGATTCTCAAACAGAGTATGCCAATCAAGCGTGAAATCCATGGTTGCAGCACAATCGTAAGTTCACAGAGAATGACCATCAAGATGATCGATACTTTTGTGGAAAGAATGGAATCATCGGACATGTACTCCGCACAATATCACCGAATTCGAGAGGACTTGATTTTGGTGTATTAAATAATATACATATATATATATATATATATATTTAACACCGGCCTGCGGACAAGCCGGGGATGGGATGCTCATTCAAATTAATGCTCCAAAACTGTCGACCGGAATTCTGACGTCATTCATTCATTCGTCCTCAGAGTGTGCATCATTGGGAATTCTCTACCACCTCACATTGTTTCTGCTCGTCCCCCTCCCTCCTCGCCGATTGATTTTTTTTCAAGCACATACTAGATTAAACATTGATGAGTCTTAAATTTCGATATTTGTCGCGGTGCACAAATCAGAGATAAATTGTGACATTCCTCATCTTTCTATGAACCCTATGAGAGACGAGAAAACTAACTTGTAATCTTTAATATTGCATGTGGATTTCACTCAGTCAGATAGGTCATTCTCAAACAGATTAATTTTAAGCAATTATGCATGATCTGACGAGGCCTAACAACCGCAGGCAAAACCTAGTGTTTTTTTTAAGCAGGCAGGATTTTGACAAATCATTCGTATGCTACCGATTGCAAAGCACTCACTCGACTACATTCAAGTCAACTTTTGTCGTGGTTAGTTGTATTGAATCCTGGAACATAGCATGAAACTATAATAACAACAATGACGCATCTAACATGAACTGGTCTAGAAAGAAAGATCTGTCTGGAAAAGTACATCGGAACCCAAAGCCACTAATGAAGCAAGTTGTGAAGAAAGTAGTAGATAATAATTCACATCCGGTTCGCAGTGCATAGCGATTATGTATAATCCAGTATAAGCTGACATCTTTTTTGTTCTCCCACGAATTTTGTTCATCCTCATTTCAGGCAATGACATTTTAATAATACCGAATCCCGCCTAGCTTAACAAGTGGAACTGAAGGTCTATTTACACGAACACAATTGAAAATAGTATACAATATATTTGAATTACGACAATCATGGAGTGTAAATCATGCATTCAGCAAGGCCCTTCAGGGCGCGCATCCAAGAGTAGTTCTTCAGATCCCATTTGCAAGTGGAGTGTGGCAAACCATTTACGGTCACGATCAATCAAGTGAGAGTTAAGCCAGTCCGCAGTGAAACTGTTTAAGACGAGGTTGGGTGATGAAATCAAACTTTAGAGCTCGTTCTAGTTAAAACTCATCAGTTATAGTCCTCTCACATCAACAACAACAAAAACAACAACAGTAGCATACCCTAATGTTTGTCGTTCCATTAAACCACGACGGGAATCCTTACAGAGTTGTTTCAAAAGACAGGGAAGCACATTGCTCGAAATTTAGAGTATTGAGGGTCGATTAAAATTCTCCCTGAGGATGTTGCGAAGATCCCCCCTCTATTCGATGAGTCGGGTGGAAGGTGAGCCACTGCGAATAGAGATAAAAAGATGAACGATTCGCATGAGTTTCAAGTGCGGAATAAACAAACCAGAGAAGAGGACGGAGAACCCGAGGGCATGAAAATTTGTACTATCTTGAGCATGTAAAGCCTCGACACGCAACGGTTGTGAAAACATTATCAAAGTTTCTAATCTCCATCACAATCAAATCGCATTACGAAGTTTATTATGAAGATAATTTCAAGGATGTTGCTGGTATTTATGTTCTTTTATCATGGTTTTACAGTGCCAGTTGTTTCAACGTACATCCATACACTCTTTACTACTTAAGGCAAAAGGAGTTTTTAGTATAGTTAGAGCGTACTTTAAATGATTGAACGAATTCACTACTACTACCACTACTACTACTACTACTATTACTACTACTACTACTACTACTACTATTACTACTACTAAAATGAAGTTTCCAATGTGAGAGACCATCTATTAGGGTCTCCGAGATCACCGAGCTGGCTAGATAGACAAACCACTGTGAGTCAAGTTTGGTTTCAAACAATACCATTCAGCCGGGAGGAGATGGGTGGGGATCAGACAGAACCATTTGTGTATATGACCATCATAGTAATAGTTATATTTGCCTACATCCTATTGTTGAATATTGAAACGTGATTAGAAAAAGTTCTGAGTCTGAAAAACCAGGAAGCTGTTGTGGGGTTTCAATACCGAATATATTCGAATGAGCGTAATCAACACCTAAACTGTTTAAACCTTCTTGTCGTAGCACAATAACTTTGGTCTAACATCATCTGTTATCGTATGCTCACTGCTTCACTTCCGTACAATTCAAAGCCATTGTTTGCGGGGATTCACAATTTCTTTTGAATATTGTTCCACTCATTTAGGTATGGTGCGTATATATATATATATATATATACACACACACACAAAAGACAATTCATTTGTCGTTATAATGAGAATCCGGAACAGAAGTAACACGCGCAAGTCAAACATTTTTGTTCGTACGGTAATTGCGTTCAGTTTCCATTCATGAACATACAATAGTATGTGGATACAGAGGACTATTTAGAAAATCACGTTCTCCACTACTTTTGTTAGTATTTCTCTCTCTCTCTGAAAAACTGCAAGTCTGGTTACTTCATGAACAAATCANCAGTTTCAGACTTCCGTTTTTCCGAGCTTGGTTTGTCTGAAGCATACACACACGATTCGCGCGGAATTTTTTTCTTTGGAAAAACTAAAGATTCATTCTACTCCTTTACCTCCTCCGCATCAAGCTAAGTTGAAGCACATTCGATCGACAGGTGTTGCAGACAGGATAGAATTGGACAATACAGATCTTTCGCAATGGTAAAACTAGACAGAGAAAATTGAGTACTGATCATCATCATCATGATCATCATCTTCGTCATCCGAGTCATCATCATCATCAACCCAGTCATCATCATCATCATCATCATCATCATCATCCGAGTCATCATCATCATCATCATCATCATCATCATCATCATCATCATCATCATC